ACGTGTTCACAGGTGATTGAATCGTAGGGTGGCTTATGCAACACTATTTCACTAAAATGAAGGAATGATTGCTTGAATTAATTCGTATTCTTTGTAGAATCTTCTTAACTAAAACCTTTTTGTATTTATCGAAAATATATAATTAATCAGAATTCAATTATAAATTGGAATGTTTTTGGCAAACTTAACATTTAAGGGGAAAGCATTCGACTTTTATCAAAATTTGATTCGATTTTTACCTCCCAATATTTGATATTTTCATGTTGTGAGTCAAATTTTCAAGTCGAATTGCATGAAATTGGGTATTTTCCGGCCATAGAATTTACATAAAGTCCTGGTAATTCAAGTACAATGTATCTTTCACTTTCGACGTTTGGAGTTTTGGTGTTACACAAATAGCGGTACCTCCCTATTTTCGTTATTTTGGTGATTTAAGCGAAATTATTCACCGCAATTGTTTCAAATTTGGTATTTCAAGTTCGTAATGGATACTACCGTCTGTTACAGAAAATTGTCTGTGCTGGTCCATAGCCCCAAATATAACGGTACTTTGATGATTTTAGCTAAATTATTCACCGATTTTTTAAGTTCCGCATTTAAATATTATAATGGCTTATGACAAAAGTAGCCTATGCAAGTCCACGTCGTAGTATAAACCCTAATATAACGGCAACATTCTCCAGTGATGCTTATAGTCACGATAATGTTTATAGCAAAATAGGCAAAATCTATATGTAAAAGAAATTGATATTAGTTATCTCGCTTATAAGACATGAACCGCTGGACTGATTTTGGCATATTTTTTGCATACGATTTTTTTTTCAATTTGACTTACAATATTTGATTATATATTTGTAATATTTTTCACCTTACAATACCACGTGTTGAGGGTGTTATATTCAGGGCGCAATTATCGTCCGCTACTCTCGAAATTTTCCATGGTGGTAGGGCTAGGGTCGGAATCGAAGCTTATTGTTTTTGAAAATTTATATTTAAGTCTAGATGTTTTTATATTTTTCAGGTAAAATGGACCACAAGTTTTGTTGTGAAATTGTTTTGAATGCGTATCAACACGGCAGAGAGCGTAAATGTAGGTCAAACACCCATGATCACTAACCAAAGTAATATTTGTGCCGGGAGGTAAGGCATTGTTTCAAAAACAAAATCTACCAAAATTAATTTATACCTAAGGGGGTTTCCAAAATATTATAGTGTTATAGGGTATCACGTTGTTGGCCCCCACGACCGTCTACGGAAATCACTCTAGTTTCCCAACGAAATAATTAGATTTTACTCATAAATTAGATTTTACCCCATATAACCATACCTCTCTAAATCTCTCTTTCGATATTCAGTATTTTGATCATTTGTGTCATATGTTTAACGGAATTTCTTTAAATTCAGATCGCAATTGACAAATAAACCCCGTACAACGGTACATTTTTATATTCGGAATTTTGATGATTTTAGTCACATTTTCAATGGAATTATTTTAAAATTTATATTTTAAATTTCTAATAACAGAAAACATATATACCGCTCGAATACTAGATCTTAGCACGCCAAAAATGTATAATATTTTAAATTCTACTAAAATGGTCTATCAATACCTAAACATTCCCTGAATTTCTTTACAAATTTACAAATCGAATGTCAAGATGGCACCTCGAGAATTTAAAACTATTTAGATATCTAATATGTTTGAAACTTCCCATTTTTAGACTGATTATATGTATGAGACAATAGAGGTATTTCATTTGGCATTTTTCTTTCTAAGGAAACTAAAACAGCTACTTTTACAGCAACATTTAAACATAAACATACATTTATTGTCATTATTTAATACATTTTAAAGATTTAAGCGTCTGCAATTTAATATTTTCATATTTTTAAAAAATTACAGCCAAATTTGCATGGTATTGTAGCAATACTGTAAAAAATTCCTTTTTTTGTAGAGTGTTAAAAATATATCACCAAAATGTCGCTGAAATTTTATTTCACATACAAAGTTTGCATTTTTTTATTTTGATCAAATATTTTTTTCTTTTCGACATTCATATACGTCTTGCCTCCTCTGTTATACAATGTATCTACATAAGTATGTCGATTTGTTACCGAGCAGAACAAAACATTTGTATAAAAATTTAATGCCAAAAGTTTTGGGATTTTCTCGATGCTGTTTTTCGCAAAAAAGAAACTATTTCACATTCAATAGTCAAAAGAGCACAGTTCTGTTATTGATGCATGTGTACACATACATATGATATAAGTAAAAAAAAAAAGATGTGAGAAGATTTTGTGCGTAAGAACGATTCTAAAACTTTGCTATGAGAAACTTGTTTTTATAGTAATGGATCAATGCTTTTCCCTTGACAATGTTTGGTTCTCAATTGGTCTTAATATCCATTGAACATTGTTTCGTTATCGCCAAACGTTACAATATGGGAAAAAAATTTAAACTGCAAATATGACTTATGAAACAAAAATATATGTAAGTATGAATTGTCCGGCTACACAGCAACCACTATTTTCATGGTACGGCAATGCAACTGTAATGACAGCTGAAACTGTGAGCAGGCAGTCTGTCAGTCAGCCTATCTTCACATTCATTATGGCCGACAATTCAAGTGTCAGCCATGATGGGCGTGTGTGTGTGGCATTCAAATGCCGTCGGTAAATGTGTACCATGTTAATTGAAGGAAACTAAGGCGACACACAACAATGGCAGTCTCGTTAAGGGTGTGGTTGCACATGGTGTGTTTGGGAAAAAATCTCTAATTCTAAGTTGGCAATGCAATAGAGTGAGACAAAGCAGTTCTTAAAGGAAATAAAAACAATTGCTGAAAATAAAGTAATTTTCTACAGTTTTATTTTTAGTAGATCAAAAATAAGTACATATCGTTCCTTCACACAAGGAGCGTTTTATTTCAAAAATCTATTATTTTAATATTATTAAACAAATAGATTAGTGTAATAACTTAGACAATTACAGGGTGAGATAAAAAAAAACTGCAACAAATTCAACGCCATAATTTTTACATATTTTTCACATTTTATTGAATGAAAGCAAGAAAAATGTCGGAAATGGCATCTACTTTTAGAATAAGATTAGATTTGTTCGAATTTGTCACCTTTGGCTTGAATTATGGCCTTCAAACGGCCAATGAAACCGTCACACGCTGCCCGAATGTTGCTCTGCCCATTCCCCGCGAAGCGCTTGCTTGACACTTTGGTATTTTTAGTGCCAACCTTGCTTTTCAAAATACTACAGACACAATATTGTAACGGATTGGTATCCGGAGATTTTGGTGGCCATTGTGCGCTGGAAATGAAGTGAGGGACCCCATTTTGTAACCATTCTTGGGTGGCACGTGCTGAGTGCGATGATCCTGAGTCCTGTTGGAATGTCCAAGGTCTGCGGCCAAAATGTTTGCGTGCCCAAGTCTTTAATACACCCTCCAGAATATTTTCGCGATCATCGGCTGTTAAGGCGGCGGACACCATCAGCATTGCCGGCGCTTGAGTTGTGGTGGACAACCGAAGGTGCACTTTTTCAGCTTACCTCTTTGGCAAGTAAACACGATAATTCTGTTGGCTTACAAACTGCTGGAATGTTTTCTCATCGGAGAAAACCAAATTCGTCAGTTCACCACTTCCTGCCAAGCGAAGCAACTCTTTAGCTCTTTTGAGTCTATTTTCTTTATGCTGCGGTGAAAGTTCTTGCACTTTTTGGAATTTCAATGGCTTTACCCCGAGCTCATTTTTCAATATTTGCTGAATGGAATATTGCGATATTAAGATAAAGAAAGATTGGCTCAAAAACGAATGTATTCAGCTATGCCAATCTTTGGGTAAATCAGCGATGTGTTAAATTTAATTTTGAAGAGCAGATTTAAACATAAATCGGTATCTATGCTAATTTTTAATACAGAAACAGAAGTTTCAACATCCATCAGGTATTTTTGTCATTATTAGACGCTTTTGAAGCTACAGCTTCTGACACACACATGATGATGATATGATACTACAGCATCTGACATACATAATGGTCCGTTACATAAATGTACTTTATTGTGTACAAATATTTACATCTTTCTAACACAAATCATAGTAAAATACGAAAATTTTATCATATTACAGCTCAAGACTCTGTATGTGCTGAAGTAATAAGTTTTTTCCTTTGCATATTTTTAATAAATACCTGACTGGGTATGGGCAAATGTTTAGTAGTTTTTATTAAACCTGTATGTGTTTAACGTGGATTAGATGAACTTAAGCCGCCCATAAAAACATTGTCGACATTTAACACATTGCCACACTCTATTCATGAAGTCTTTGTCATTTTATCGCCAAAATTAAACACCCCACACGGACACTTTGTTCATTATTTCATTAAATTCTTTATATGAATGCTGTTGCACCCACAACTATACATGTATATGTGTGGGATTTTTTTTATTAACGTTGACTTGCTTGAATTATAACGAAACTTATGAACTTCCAAATATTGCTACAGGCATATGTATATCCTCTACATGTCTACTAAAAGTCAATTGTAGGTCTGTCACTTGAAATATAGTCGTTTCGTATATCATGTGTAAAAGATCAGGATTTAATTCCTTTCTAACATTGGTTTATGACATGCAATACAGGGTTCAACAAGAAGGTGAGTATGTATATTGGTATGCATGTGCGTTTTTGTGTTTGTATTTTATTATGACTATATTTTAGCTTTATGTACTTTTAAACGTTAAATTATTTTTTAATTGCTACAAAAGCAAACACACTTAACTTCATTAATTCTTGTGGTTTTTTCTTTCGGAAAAGGGTGGTCCCATCAAGAGAAAGTCAAAATGTTCACAAGATAACCCTTAAGATTTTTTTAATTTAATTTTGTTCTCTAAGACTGTATGTACATTGTGGGACACTATCGATAACGTTTTCCAAATTATAATAAATTTAAAAACAACAAGTATTTATTTTTACTTGAAATTAATTTATTGAAGTGAATTTTTAATAACAAATAATCTACTTACCTTTGCCCTTTTTTGATTTTCATAAATTACGAATTTCGTATAAAACCCTGAAATAAAAAGTTAAAAATTGGTTAATAAAAAATTAACCCAACGGATACTTTACTAAACCTTAAAAAATATCATTTGACTTCGCTCCATACTATGTATGGTGGAGTGTATAAAGATTTCGAATATCAGATGTTACAGTTAAACCAATTATCTGTAAAAAAATATGGTGGCTATAACAATACTCAAACAAAAAAAAAAACAAATTTAAAACAATTTTGTTGAAAAAGTAATTAAAATCTTCAAAATATCGAATATTGTGTAATATTGGCAGGTACCGTTATATAGGGCCTACCAAATTCACGTTATATTGGCAATTTCATAGTCTTAGGAAGCATTATCCACTGACAACTCCAAATTTCGAATTGAAATAATACTGGAATTGTTTAAAGAGTGTGTCTACAATCTTCAAATTACCGAATATCGTGAGGGACATTTATATGGGAGCTATACGAAGATACTTCTATGGACAGTTCTACTCAAGAATCCTCCTTACATATTGGGAACACAAACTGCCAATTTACAGCGAATTCGGGTTAAGACTGTGAGTAGAACAACCAACAGACATTACATCTGCTGGGGGGCTATACCAAAACCTGGACCATTTTCCAAAACAAAAGTCCTGCACACATATAATACATCTGAGTAAAATTTTATCAATCTACTTCATTTCGTCCGGAAGATTGCGTGAATTCCACAGACGGACAGACAGGCAGAATGGAATAAATGGAATTACAAATTAATATATTATCTTATATCCATTGTGTATAAACATAATAAGATAAATGGCAATTCTTATGCCCTCCACCATGGTATGGAGGGTATATTAAGTTTATCATTCCGTTTGTAATATACATTTTAAACCCCACAAAGTATATATATTCTTGATCAGCATTAAATTCTATGTCGATTTAGCGATGTCCGCCCGTCTGTGGAAATCACTCTAGCTTCCGAACGAAATGAAGTAGGTTAATAAAATTTTACTCAAATGTGTATTATGTCTGCAGGACTTTTGGTATTGAAAATGGTATAGTTTTGGTATAGTGGTACCGCCTTTTTTCGATATTTTGGTGATTTAGGCGACATTATTTACAGGAAATGTTTCATGTTTGGTATTTGAAGTTCGTAATGGGTACTACAGCCTATGGCAGAAAATTGTATGTGCAGGTGCACGTCTTCGGAATTTTTTCAAATTTGGTGTTTGAAGTTCGAAGTAATGGATACTACAGCCTACGACAGAAAATTGTCTGTGCAAGTCCACGTCATCGTATATACCCTAATATAACGGCTAAATTCAGTATTTTTAAGATTTTAGTAGAATTTTTCAGGATTTTTTTTTAATGGTCAAAATTGTTCCATATGGTGGAGGGTATTCAAAGATCGGCCCGGCCGAACTTACAGCTTTTTTACTTGTTTTTTTTTTTCTTTCTTCAGCCCATTCACTTTGAATATTTGAACATAGGCTTTTACTTAATAAAAAAATAAATTATTATCTCTGAAAATCTAATTAAAATTGATGTTTTCTAATTAAATTAAGTTATATTCGGCTGGTCGAAAAGTTTAAAACCCCCACAATGAAAAATCTAAAATGTCAGCTTAATCTCACCTCTTCAAGATTTGGGTGAACCCGTAGTTTTTTTTTCGATATTAAATTTGATAATATGCACTTTTGTACTTGGCGAAAAATAAAATAACTTTAAATATATTCAGACAGAGTGCAGTTATTTTCTCGACCCGGAATCATATCGTCCCTATTTACGTTTAAAATACAAATAATTAGACAATGAAATTTGAAATAAACAGAATAGATCTATACCGTATTATAAGTCGTATAGATGTAAAATCATAAATTTATATTAAATGAAAACCCAAACTGTCAAATTACAGTCAATTCAAAACAATTCTGAAAATTAGGAATTACCGTGGAAAATACTTTTCAATCATATTTATAACTAAGAACATTTATTTTGGCAGAAAAGCTTCTGAAAATAGCAAAGATTGGATATATATCTTACATAAAATTTTAACATAGACTCCAAATTATGATCATAAATCCACTATATACCCCCTCACTTCTCTTGTTTTTGTTCTCCCTTTAGTTAAAACAAGTTAAAGTAATTATTGTTTTACAAAACTCTTAGTAAAAAGCAAACACATTTTCTGCTATTTTCTCAAAAGTCAAGCATTTATAATTTAACTGTGCTCATGAATTATTTATTTACCAAATTGAACAATTGTACTGACCGAATCTCCAACAGTATTATTTCTCTTTTAATCTACTTGTAAACAATAAATTAACACATATTGTTAATAGTTATGAATTCGATTGGAAAGCATTATTTAATTAATTCAATTTTTTACAAAACATACAATGCTATCACCCTAACAGTAAAGGCCAATATTTTGTGAATACAAATTTCCTCATTTAAAAAATTAATACCTACCTATGTATCTCTGAAAAGAATGTTGGAGTTAAAATTAAATTTATCTTCAGAAACCCCAAATTAAAACAAGTGCAAAAGACCCCACTGACTATCCCAGAGATTGAACAAATTCTTTAAATAAAAATCAACGTTCTGATATAAACCAGACCAGAGAAGTCGCGTGTCTTTTGTCTATGAAATTGTGTTGTTAACACTATAGGCCAAAATGAAAACTATATGGAGATACCCCACCAGGAGATACAGCATGAATGAGATGGTAAAAGTTAATTTGCATAGAGTGTGCCACACAACAATTTCAAGACCATAGAAGAAAAGGGTTAAAATCATCTAAAGAGCTAAGGTTAAAATGAAATTAAACATTTTAATAAAGTTCAACATTTTGATAGGGTCGGTGGAATATATACACACATGCATGCATGTATGTATACATTTATTCTCCCTATGTATGTACTTTTGTGGTGTGAACGTATCTTCTGCGGTTAGGTTGATGTTTCCCCCGCCATTGAAGGAGTTCAATAAAAACTTGTTTTGAATAAATAAATAACAAATGTTATGTGGTAAATTGGTATATATTGACGTGTATGGTAATGTGATATGATATGTGAAAACCTGCTGTGTGAAGACGAACAAAACTGTTCAAATGTATACATAAACAGCAAAACAACAAGAACATGAACACCGAAAAGAAGAAAAATAATCGAATCGCATCGTATCTTTAGAAGTGGGTGAATATGTATATTTAGGAAAAAAAATGTACACATATATATTGGAATGGGTCGCTGCTAACATGATTTGGTATATTGTTTTCAAACACATTTTTTGTAATGAAGGAACGAACAAAATAAATTAAATATTTCGGAAATCTGGAATCTCCTTTGATGTAAACAAAGTCTTAGTTAACCTAATTATATGAATCGTAATATAGTTGTTAAACCATGGTCTTAGAAAATTTCTCTCAAAATACCTGGATTTTTATTTTTAAGAACTACTTGTCCAAAAATATTAGATTTTAACAAAAAAGTCAAGAATATATAACTTTTTTAAAGACTCTCTGACTTTACATAATACCCTTTAGTAGAATTTTATGAATAGTAATTTCGAATTAATTAATTAATCCGGAAATGTCCAAAAGTGTGGAAGAGGGGAGAACTTGCCCCCTCTATCAACCTTCTAAAACGTCGAAACATGCATCTTCTTTTTAGCTCTACTTTCATAATCTGCTGTATTTTTCAGTAATTATTTTTAAATTAGGAGTTGCAATGGAAAAAATCGTTTCGGAAAGAGCCACCAACCGTCATCAGTTCGATGGTTTTTTTCTCGGGATAACTGTCGATGGTCGTTCTTTAATCGTGGCATTAGAATAAATGCCGAATATAATCTAAAAAATATTCAGGAGGGTGTATTAAAGCCTTGGGACGCAAACATTTTGGCCGCAGAGCTTAGACATTCCAACAGGACTCAGCACCATCGCACTCAGCACGCGCCACCCAAGAATGGTTACAAAATGGTTACGTTTCCAGCCCACAATGGCCACCAAAATCTCCGGATACCAATCCGTTAGACTATTGTGTCTGGAGTATTTTGGAAAGCAAGGTTGGCACTAAAAATACCGCAGAGCAACATTCGGACAGCGTGTGACGGTTTCATTGGCCGGTTGAAGGCTATAATTTGTGCTTAAGGTGACCAATTGGAACAAATCTAAACTTATTCTAAAATTTGATGCTATTCCGATATTTTTGGCTTTCATTCAATAAAATTAAAAAAAATGTAAAAATTATGGCTTTTGACTTTGTTGCAGTTTTTTAATCTCACCCTATATAATAATTTGAATTCATTGATAATTTCTCACAATATTTTCCGTCACTTTTAAAGAAAATAAAAATATTTACTTCACCTCTCATACCACTCGACCCACTCTTGTTAACATTCACATTGAAATTTTGTTCTTTCTGTCTCCTTTGCCATGTTGTTTGGTATTCTGATGTTGTTCTTTCCATTAGGCATAAACGCCAAGAATGTTTTCGTCTTTCTTCTACGCCGCCTTCCACAACTGATGATGGAGCAGACATAACAACAAAAAGGAGGCGCTGATTTTTTTCGTTCTCCCTTCATTAAACAAAAACAATATTTCAACACCAAAATAATGTATGGGTTTCATTTTAGATTTTTTGGCATTCCTATTGCCCCAACGAAAAAAAAAAAAAATAAAAACAATTTAGATACATTTGAGTAGAAATACCAAAAATCAATATCACCAAAAAATATAAATAATTCAAATTCTTAGTCACACACATTGGCTTGCACACAATCGAATGGTTCAAATCTCTTAATTAAGAAATATTTTTTTGTTAAAATATGTGTTTCTTGTTTTCTCTTGCATAGTGAAATTTATATTTTAACCATTGATTAACCCGTCTCACTACCAACACTTTTTGATAAAACTGACTGAACTCGACTAATCACAATTGCTTGTCGTTGAAATCAAGAAAATTAATGAAGATATCAGGTTTTCGCCTCCTGATTGGTGTTGGCCATTTTTGCTAATCTAACTCAGCACC